TATTTATAGATTATGTTTAAAGAGGGTTTTAGAAGCATAGATCTTTAACATACTATACTTTGTTATTTTTATAGTTGGAGATACATCTAGCACTTACTCATGGTACATATTCAATGGACTATATATAGCAACTCACCAAGTTTCAAAGTTGTTGATTTCATTCCCTGAATTGCTTGCCAACCCAGTGACTTTATTCCATGGATCATGCATTTTATTTTGGAATGAATTTAAACAACACAGTACATTCAATCTATAGTTGAGCACTTGAGGTTAATGCAAGTGGAAGAAGGAATGTACAGATCCATGAATTGTCATTTTGCATGTGTCTTACTCTAGTTCCTGGGCATTCTCAAAGGAGAAAAGCAGAGCACAGAAGATTTTCAGGGTGGTGAATCAGTGTCTGTATGACACTTTAATGGTAGATTTATGCCGTTATACATTTGCTAAAATCTATAGAATTTATAACACCAAGAGTAAGTCCTAATGTCTTTAGCCCCTCTACTGGGACTAAAAACTACCCACAATGCCAGCCACAGTAAGCCACAGTAGAGGGTTTTTTTCAGGGCAGTAAGCACGAAGGTTGAATCCTTGATAGAATGTGCTAAAGACTAGAAGAAACTCTTGTTTCCTTCAGTAATAGAGGGAAAACTTGCTTTCAATTCCTCATGAATGGTATATTTTATTTATAAGATTTTATAGAAAATTTCATTTGTAAAACAGAATAGTAGTTTGAGGAATAATTGAAAACAACATAAAATCTTTAGCCAATGCCTAGAAAATATTATTCTAATCATTTTCAATGATGCTTTCTCCACTACTATCACAATGCTTTTATTGTCATTTATTTTCATTCATGTAATCTGGGATTACCATTGTCTTAATTGAATTTTTCGTTCTCTGAGTATGACACTAACCTTTCATTTCTGCACCAATATGTCGTGATGCTGGCATTACAAACTTTAGCACATCTAGTACATATCGAGATATTAGGTCATTAAAAATATTCTCTCCTTCAATAGTAGAATCTCCATGAACCCATCACCCATCTTCAACAATTAACATTTTTGCTTTTCTCGTTTATCCTATTTCCTATGACTTTTTTGAAGGAAGAGATCTTAAATATTTTAAAGCAAATCGCAGACATATAATTTCATCTACAAATACATCAATACAGGTTGAAATCCCTAATTCCAAAATCCATAATGCTCCAAAGTCCAAAACTTCATGTGTCTTATCAGTGCTCAAAAAATTTCAGATTTGGGAGCATTTCAGATTTCAGGTTTTGGGATTAGAGATGCTCAATTGGTATTGTCTCTGTAACTATGCAAAAATCCAAAAAACTCTGAAATCAAAAACATTTCTGGTCCCAAGCATTTTGGATAAAATATCCTCAACCTGCCTGTCTCATTCTCTAGTGACCCCTATTCCATTCTATTCTTCTACAAGATCAACTTTTTAGTTTCCACAAATGAGTTGAGAACATTTGATACTCGTCTTTCCATGTCTGATGTATTTTGCTCAACATTATGACTTCAAATTCCTGCAAATGACAGGCTTTCATTCTTTATGTGACTGAATAATATTCTGTTATATAGATAATACCATATTTTCTTTATCCATTCATCCACTGGAGGGCAACTGGTTGACTCTTTATTTTGGCTATTATTAACAGTGCAATAAATATGAGAGTGAAAATATCTTTTTGGTATAATGATTCAATATATATACCCAGTAGTGGAATTGCTGGATCATATGGTATTTATAGTTTTAGTTTTTTGAAGAATCTCCATACTATTTTCCATAATGGTGAAACTAATTTATATTACCACTAACAGTGTACAGAATCCTTGCCAGAATTTGTTACTTTTTAATATGATAGTCATTCTAACTTAAGGGAGATGATATCACATTGTGGTTTGGATTTATATTTCCTGATGACTAGTGATGCTGAGCAGTTTTTMATATACCATTTATATGTCTATCAAAGATTTTAGCTCTTTGGCACAGTATGTTCCACATTCATCTCATGGTTATCTATTTGAGACCTGGAACCAGCCATTTTCCCCAGAAGCCCTAGTTCCTTTTAGTGAAAGTAGTATGGGATGCTCACTACTATTGAATTAACAAAGTATGTAGGCCTTGTCAGTGGAAATTATTTGAATATGTATATTTTTGAATGAGAAAAAATTACAAGTTTATTGCTACTTCCCAAATAAATACAATATTGCAGAGTTTTGATTTCTTTGATTTTTATGAGATAGTATCTTTTCAGTCAAGTTAAAAATTTTAATTTCCAATAATAATTACATAATTATTTGCTTTATCATACTAAACATGTTTTTTCCTGAGCATAATTTTAAAATGATAGCAATAGTTTCAAATCAGCAATATCACTAACAATAAAATTCTTCAGTACATTTTAAGATTCATTTGTGATTCATTTTATCTTTATGATATATGTTACCAGCAAGGTACAATAAAAATACTAGATTTAAATTACTAGGGATTGAATCTAGGGTGCTTTACAGTGACTAAGGTACTTTCCCAGTCCTTTTTATTCTATTTTGGAATAGGGTCTTAACTAAGTTGGTGGGGGACTTTCTAAATTACTATGCTGGCCTCAAACTTGTGATCCTCCTGCCTCAGTCTCCCAAGTCACTGGGAATACAGGTGTACCACTTTGCCTGGTTAGTGACTGACTTTTAAAAAAATAAGTTCATTTAAAAATGATGTGATATTCATGTGGTTTCAAAGTCCAAACCATAATTCAAGTTGTATGTTTACAAAGATCTAGCTTCTATCCCTGTCTCCTCTCTCCTTTCTTCTTTACCCCATTGATAACCATCTTTATTTACATTTTTTCCTAGCTTAGTTTTTGATCTTTTTCAAAGTAAAAGTAAAATGTACATTTATGTGTGTTTATGAGCACATTATTAAATATAACTTCCTGTGAGACTTACCAATCGCACATTGAAATAGTATTTCCAGTTTCCAAAGTACTTATACATATCCTCTTGTTTCTCATAACAGACCTTTTAAATTGACAGAACAGGCAATGTTATCACTATTTTATTAAGGACCCAAGTCTCAGATGATTGAAGAGCTACTTAAGTTTACCAGGTTTGTATGTGGCACAACTAGAACTAGTGCCCAGATAGTGTGGCATGGTATTTAAGAAAACAAGCTCTGGAGTCAGAGTGCCCTGTACTGTTCTGCCACTTACTAATTATGAGTTTGTGTAATATTGACCTCTTTTAAGGCTCAGTTTCCTCCACTGAAGAGATATTTATAGTATCTATCTGATAGGATTGTTCTGAGAAATAATTGAGACAACATAAAATCCTTAGCCAATGCCTAGAAAATATTATTCTAATCATTTTCACTGATGCTTTCCCCACTACCATCACAATGCTCTTATTGTCATTTATTTTCATCCATGTAATCTGGGATTACCTTTGTCTTAATTGAATTTTTCATTCTCTGAGTATGACACTAACCTGTCTTTGCTGCACCAATATAATTGTTGTAATACTGGCATTACAAACTTTAGCACACCTAGTATATATGGAGATATTAGGTCGTTAAAAAAACTTCTCCTTCAGGCCTTGCATAGTGTCTTGCTTACACTGAATCTTGAAAAAGATAGTTACCGGGTGAATTATTTCTACCTGAAATGAGGACTTTGTGGAGCAGGTAGATTTAATATTCCTTCTGGAGACCCTATAAAACACAATGGACCAAGAGACCTGTAGCTGGGAAGTTGCGTGAACAAAATCATAGTAGCTAGAAGGATAGTGTATTCAGTACTAATACATATCCTCTTGTTTCTCATAACAGACCTTTTAAATTGAGGGCACATGTATTGCATTCAGGGCACACGTATTACATTTAAAAAGCCGGAACTAAGATGTGGCAGTAGGAATGGAAAGCTGAAAATTTGGGGAGCTTTGCCTCACATTTGTGATATTTAACATGAACAAGGAACCTAGCATTTGAAGATTTGGAAGTGGGAATTAGTTTCACAGTTTGAGATAGTATTCTAATATGTCAGTCATATTTATATTCTTAAAAGTAAACAAAATTGACTGACTGGCTTCTCTTTTCTTTCTTTCTTTCAAACGTGGGGTCATAAAATGAAATACCCAACTCATCACAGGTTTTGCCTAATGCATATAGTTATTATGTTTAAATTATTTGTCACTAGATGGAGTCCACGAGCCCACGGTGGTAGACCTTTTCTATACTTCTTCCTGTTATTCCTGTTCTTGACTTTTGAAGGAGATAATAATACTTTTTTAAAAACTGGCAAATGATTTTGAATGGCAGAATTATTTGGTTTGCAAAAGTCTTTTTTCCCCCACATTCTTCTTTTCCAAAAAAATGTTTTCAAAAGACCTTAAAGATCACAGTTAAATTTCAGTTCTAAATCTTGATGGTATATGGTATGTGATAGTAAGAGTGTTTTTAATTTACTCTGTTATTGAATGTTAATTAAAAAATAAAATTGTCATCTTCTGTTCCAGGAATTCAGTGTTTAGGAGCTCTTGATTTCAACCCTTTTAACTTATATATTTTCTACCCACTATGAGCTTTCTTTCAAACACCAGTAAGAACAATTGTTGAATTATTTACCATGTCATTTGTTAGCTTGACAAAACATGTACCTGCATTTTCAAAACTTTTCATAATGTGAAATACCCTAAGAGGCCAGGATAAGCAAATTTTCTTTATCAAAGTCAGCAAAAGGTAAGAAGGCAGGAGCAAGTAATAAATAAATACTGGTGGTTATTCTAGTTGCAGACTTCCTTTGCTATTTATTTTGAGTAGGGACTTGGGCAGTGGAGAAAGAGCAAATGAATATATGAAATGGTTTCATAAAGGATCTTGGGAACTTTCCAGGCCCCAAAGAGAATGCAGTTAACTTTCTCAATTAGTTGGTATGCAAGGAAAGATTCGGGCAAGATCTAATCTAATTCCTTTTTTGTATCTTTCTGCCACAGCACATGTCCTTACAGTCGGCCTCCCTTTGGCTATGGGAATTTTCCAAGCTCAATGCCAGAATGCCTTGGTTATTATGAAGACAGGTACCAAAAACACGAGGCTATGTTTTCAGCTTTAAATAGAGACTACCCTTTCAGAGACTACCCAGACGAGCGCACACACAATGAAGATTCTCGGGGTTGTGAGAGCTTGGATGGGACCTCTTACTATAACAGCCACAGCCACAGTGGGGAAGAATACTTAAATCCCATGCCCCAGCTGGACATTGGGGCTTTGGAGAACGTCTTCACAGCTCCCACCTCAACTCCCTCTAGTATCCAGCAAGTCAACGTGACTGACAGCGATGAGGAGGAAGAAGAAAAAGTGCTCAGGAATTTATAATTTTAAAACAAATATGCACAGAAAATAAACATTTCTTAAAATATACTCTGGGTCAGTTGGTGTGAGAAAAAAAGCCTAGAATCCTTTGCTGAGAGTTTTCAGCCATGATTCGAGGAGTAGTCAAAACCAAATTCTATTCATGTCTTCATAAAATGTTGATTAATGAAACTGGAGTCCTGATGTTTCATCATAGGAATATTTAAAATATGAAGCAGATTACTTTTATGGCTGAAATTTGCACCAACATGTTATCATTACTTTATGTTGGCATGTACAAAATACAGAAACCTCACAATTGCGTGTGAGGAGAAAGGTAGTATATATCTGGCATAAGAAGTGTGATTTGCATTTTATCTCAGGATACATATATATTCTTAAATAATTTTTGTTTGGTGTTTATATAATACTTATATTGTCAGTTTTTATGTAACATTTTGAAAATATTTTGATAACTTTTAGAAGTGAATTGGGACTCAGTTACTAATTTACACCAATAACCAATTATAAGTTGCAAATGTGTTTTAATGGCACCTGGGTAATTCTTTCAGCTATATTTAGTCATTGCTGTCCCTAAACATTTTTATCATCATTTTAAAATATATTTTTTTCCATTTGGTATGCATTGTTGTATTTTTGTTATAATTAAATAAACATAGATAAAATTGTTCTTGATGGATGTTTTCTGTTTGGATGATAGAAATAAGTATAATGAATATTGTTCATTTAAGATTACTTTTCATACCACATACAGATATTTATTTTTGTTTAATGGCTTTTAGAATTGTACAGAATCCCATTATCTTGCATGAGACTTGATATTGTATTAATAAAGATGTGCACATACTTATATTATTTCAAAACTGTTTACACATGTGTACATGTAACTTAAACACTCCTATGAAGGGGCAGTGGTTCCAGATTTGGTTCAAGCAGCTGTCTTGAAAACCATGAGTTTACTCAAAAGCATATGGAATTTATTTAATCCACAATACACAAAAGCCCCTACTTATTAACCCTTGCTATGGGCAAATGCCCAGTTATAAATAACAAAGACCTTTTGGAATGGGATCAGGACCACCAGAGATGGGATCATGGTAAAAGACAGATCTAGAAGGCACAAAGTGAGTTGATGATGGATAATTGCCACAAATCAGTACACTTTTCCCTCAGTGATCTGTATAATTTGTGTAAATTGAGGTCTTGTTACTTAAACTGGTTGGAAATTGTGTATAGAAAACTGTTTTAAGCTTCCAACTTCTTCCTTTATTAAACCTGCATTTGTTTCTTAAACAAAGGTTGTTAATGTAATACATTTCAACAAACCCTATTCTGACTGTACATAACATTTTCACTCCCAATAAAATTTTTTATTTTCATGTTTTATATTTTTGTTATCACTCAACCCAATGCCATTTTGATGTGGTTAAAGAGCAAAACATGAATTTCTTGCTTGGTAGAGACTAAACATTATATCATTTCACATCCGAACTAGAGCAACATTGGTTGTATATACATTTAATGTCTATTCCTTAGGAGTGATGTATGCAACAATTTGACCCATTTTGCCAGATCTCATTTTAATAACACCTATGTAATTAAACTAGGTCTTCATCATAGACCTTATTCTTACAGAAAAATTGGTTGGGAGAATCACTGTGTAAAGTAGTGGAATGATAATAGAGCATAGTTCAGTATTTCTACCTGTTTTCAGGGTAGTCTTCCCCAGTCTTTTCTCTTAATGGCTGGACATTTCTTTTAATCTTCTCCTTTTTCTTTAGTGCTGGGATCAGAAGTCAGGAATTTAGAATATTTATAGATCCATGGTATAATTTGGTTAGGAAATATGCTTATCTCTTATTTAGAAAAGTGCCCAATTGTAGATAAGCATGCATAACTACATATCTACTCCCTTATAGCTCTTCAAATCACTGACTAAAGAACTACAGACTAAACAAAGCCCTGCCCCTTTGGCAATAATTGATCTGCCTCTCCAAGTCATCAAAGGGAAAATGTTCTGATCTGGAAGCCACAAGTACATTGTAACAGGTCTCATTGCCTTGTTTGTTCTTATTATGAATTGGAGTTCAAGATATTTGTTATAAGAATAGTTTCCCTTTCAAAGTATGTTGCAATGTCAATATGTTTAGGATGTCACTCAAACTGTTCCATGCTTTTGACATAACTGTTCTAGTCATTTGCAAATAAAAATAACCAGTTTGACAGCAAATAGATTGAAAATATGTTTAGTTCCAACTTTCAAGGAGCTGAGTTATCAGACTTAGAAAGGCAAGAGATGTGTTTCTCCATGTGTGTTAGTTAGAACCCAAGCCATTCAGATATTCTGACAAAATCTGGTCAAATAAGTTTTGGAAACTCATACCATACCCTGCTACCTTGGAGAATGTTAACATTCATCTCCATTGTAATGTCTCAAAAGTATAGCTGTAAAGACCTCTGCTTGTCTCTGTGTTTCCCAGTGCATGAGACCCCCACCCTTGTTTGTTTTCTTTTTAACAATGCCTACTAACATCTCATGGAATACACTTTGGAAAATGCTAATACAGTAAGTAATATATGGTGGCTTTGTTTTAAAAATTGTTGACTTTACATATGGTTTTCTGCATTGGTTACCTCAAATCCTTTACTGAAAGAAAACAGTAGCTGAATAAACTTTTTTAAATTAAGTATGTAATGATCTTAAGAGATTAAAGAACTGAAACTAAAAATTGTTGTCAGTTGCTGTTGGCTATTAAACTGGCTTTTTAATGAAAGTTGATATTGCACCGAAGAATTCAAGTAGGCAAAAGTGCTAAATGCGTACACAGTATATTTTTCACTGGTTGACAGTGCCAACCAGCTGTCAATGGGTTTATATCTGAGCCAAAGAAAGCCTGAGCTGCTTTTGAAAGTTGTAGTTTGGAACTGATTTTGAAGTGAATTTCTGGGGATTCTGTGAACTGCTTGCAGTATTTTCAAGTAGTCTAATTCTGATGTGGGCAGAGTAACTGAAATGTTTTAATTCTGCATTTAAAACAGATTCTGCTGAAACACATCCTTTTTTAGCTTTCTTAATCTTAAGTTTTATGGATTTAAGAGAAATTCCAAGGCATCCCAATACTTATCTAAAAATAATTACAAAAGGAGAAAGCACCTTTTATCTAATTCTACTTAATTGAAAACTTTCACACCCTTTGTTTTGGGTTCTGATTGCATGATCCAACCTTATCCCTCTGCTTTGTGATGAGTTTAACATATCAAGCTTAATAAAAATTTCACTACTGAATGGTTATTGGGAAAGGGGGCTGGCAAATGGGGAAGGGTTCTTGCTCTACACCTTTATATCTCCTCCTCTGAGAGCACTTCAGGGAAATGTCTTCTTTCTAAAAAGAATGTCCTGCATCTAACACATATTCTTTTTCAAAGGAAGATCATTAGAAAGCTGGTTTTGACTGTGTCCTGGGGCACTGTGGGGCTGACAATCCCTCCTGTAGAATGTTTTTTTTTAAGCTACAAGTAATTACCCAGTCAGTGAGTTTATTTCTAAGCCAAAGAAAGTCTGAGCTGCTTTTGAAAGTACACAGGTTATAGGATATGAAAAGGTATAAGACTACCAATCTTCCTGATCCCACTATGCCAGGGACTGAAGAGCAGAGGGTTCCTGGACAACGGACTTTTCAGTGCTAAAATTGGGAAACTTCTGTGTCAACTAGGGTGAATTGGTCACCCTAATGAGTAAAATGAATATTGAATCACCTACAGAGCTGGCTTTCGAAATTATTCCACCCCACATGGAGTTTGAAATTGGCAAGTCTCACTTTTGAAGGCAGATCATGGCTGAACTTGTAGGAGAGCCCATTAGAAAGATATGGGATAAGACACAGGATGTGTGGAGATTCATAACAATTAATACTAGGGTGCTTTCACCAGACAATTTCAAGTTKACTTGGAAAACTAAGAGAAAAATGATCCTAGCTGTGCCTTTTAGTGACGTTTCACTTTCCAAACCAGGGAGAAGGGTGTGTTTTCATTAACATGGAGTCTTTGATTTGAACTTTTTTAGTTTCCCCAATAATTATAGAGGGATATGAGTCTAGAGCCTTTAGCACAACTCAAAGCTGAGTTACTTTGGCACAGATATTGTCCCACCCATTTTCAGGTGTCTGTGAGACATCATGTAAGTGTTTTTCAGTAAACTACCTCCAACAAGTTGAGCCCAGATGCTTATGTAAAAAGTAATCATTCTCCGATGTGTACACTTGATCTCTTGAACTGGAGCCTGGTAATTGCACTCTTTCTTTAGTGGTAAACTGCATTTTTTTTTTTTTTTTGGTACCGGGGATTGAACCCAGGGGTGCTTTACAACATTAGCCACATTCCAACCCTTTTTGTATTTTTTAAAATTTAGAGACAGGGTCTTGCTGAGTTGCTTAGGGCCTTGCTAATTTTCTGAGGCTGGCTTTGAATTCAAATCCTCCTGCCTCAGCCTCCCCAGCTAAGGGATTACAGGTGTGTAAACTGCATATTAAGCTCATCACATGATTGTCATGCACGTCTATCAGTGACACCATGTAATATTTTCAAATTTTGTTTTGAAAACAATATAGCTACATTAAAGAGAATTTTTGGAGGAGAAAAAAAGCCTTTAATCCAAATTCAGTAATTATTTCTATTTTTTTGATGTTCTTTCTAATATTTGTCCACACACATACACATTTTCACATGATTGTAATCACAACACATGCACAAATTTTCATTTTATCTATTTCATTATGAGCTGTTTATCCTACTTTATGCCTTCAAATTGATCACCTTTCATGTTTGCATATTATTCTCTAACAGATGTGTCATTTGGAAGAGTTGAGATTATAGGGCCTTCTAAATTGGCGTCAGTAATCGATCCTAACAAATTTCAACAATGAGCTCCGAGTGAGCTCTCATACTGACAGACCAAAAGGAGGGGTTTTCTCTAAGCAGTCATCATTCTGGGGATTATGATGCATTTTGCTGTTTGAGTTGGGCTAAAGGCATTCTGGATCTAGCTAGGGCAAGCAGGCTCATGCCAGGTGGGCTCCGGACCACAATAAGCATTATGAGGAGAGTAAGTGGAAAGAAGAGTGCTACATGTGTCCCTCTGACCGAGGGCCACACCAGTTCTTTCTGGAAAATCTTTTTCTGATGTCTTTTGTCTAATTGCCTATCATTTTCCAAATCGCAGAGATTTTCTAGTTGTCTCCCAATGGCACCTTTTATTTCCTTTTTTTCTTAGCAGAACCCTGTATTTTTACTTACATACATGGCTATTTTGAATAAAGACTTGTCTCTTAAAGAAAAGTGTGGCCAAATGCCTAAGTTCTGGACTGTAAGATAACAATGGAAACTTCATGTTCAACTTTCAAAAAAAATTCTTAAATGGAGAGGTTAAGCCCTTCTTTGCTCCTATATCTTTTCTATTGGCAGAAATATGAAAGTGATGGCTGGAATCTGAGCAGCTATCTTGGAACACATAGACCTTCCACTGAAGATGGTAGAAAAGAAGAGGGAAGCCCCAAATCAGGACTGGATTGCTTTCCTTAAGACTATATTAGATATAATATATATCTATCTACAGTAATCCACAATAATTTTGTATTCTCCATCACATATAGAGGAATCAAATTCCAAATTTAG